TGTTTTATAGGACCTTAGGGCTCTGGTTATTGATCACATGAGTGATGCGGTTTTGGAGACTGAAGGAGACCATACTTTGAATGCTAGTATGACTTTATTAAGTCTGATGTGGTATTAGGCAGCAAGAATATCATAGTAAGTTTAAATTTTTGCAGTCTAGCAGTCATGAAGCTGCATCTAATAATTGCACTTCTAGAATTTGTTGGCTAGTATTTTATTGCCTATAGCTTTTCTATTGTTTGTATGCGATGGTACTATTTGGTAGATACTTTCAGATATTAATTTGGAATTATCCCATCATTAGCTCTCTGTGCTGCAAAAAATTGATAATGCATGTATCCTGTGGGCTTGGTGAAGTCTCTGGTATTTTGGACTTTAACACGTTTGTTGAGTTTATATAGCTACTGGTCTAGGAGTGAGAGTCAATTGCATTTTCAGTAGTGGTGGTTATAACTGTTGAGACTTTCATTTTCCATTTCTTGTTAATGCTTTTATGGTATTGCCACAGGCTCCTGTACTTTTCCAGGGAATTGCTCATACATTAAATCCCACCAGTAGCTTGGTGAGATGCCTTTATCTTCTCCGCTCTTGAACTGCCGGCAGCATCTATAACTTTATTGCTTAATTTTACTTAGATTATTGTGCCTTTTCAAGGTATTGAAAGTTCTCTCAGCTTTTCCTTCAGCCTATTCAGCTGATCCAAAAGCCAAGTTGTTGAATTCTCCTTTACTTCCTGGATCTGCTATCTCTTTAGTGTCGATTGTACAGGTGTAACTTTCAGCCCCTCACTTTCTTCAAAAGTTGTTGTATTAGCAAATTTTTCAGTGCTCATGTGATTTACTCCATGTAATTATGGGTTTATCCTATTAAATTTGTTGAGATGGAGATGACTATTAATCGATACACTTATTCCTGCTGCTTTAATTTTGGTGTTATTGTTCTTTTTCACCTCAAATTTTACCGTCGAATTTGTTAAGAAAATCTTTAGAATTCTATCTAAAAAGTGGGATTCTATTGGAGCTGTCATGAACTACAAAGAGACTCTAATAATTTATGACTATTTGATGGGAGCTCCCCTTTCAGAAGAGATGATATTAAATTGTAATATTGAAATTGTAAAATATTTAAAAATTAAATTTTTAGAAAACTCAATTCACTTCCTCTTGGGTTGTGCCATATAAACGCGACCCACATAATATAATGATTATTATGTTATAGACCATTAAGAATCATAATACCATATGAATGCCTTCTCAGATACTGCAAATTTCCAAAATATAAAATGCATAGGAAGAAATAAAAAAATATGTTATCCATTTTAAAATGAAAAGAGAATTTAGATTGAAGTTTTAGTAGACATAAAAGAATCAATAAAATACCCATATGAGGGAATGCCCCGCCTTCTCAGATAAAGCTTGGCCAAATTTTACCACATAATATAAAAATGGCCATAGGAAAGAAATATCAGCAAAAAAATAGTTATCCATTTTAAAATGAAAAGAGAATTAGGATTGAAGTTTTAGTAGATACCAAATTAATCTACATATTCAAATAAAATTGAATATTTAAAATTGTAAAATATTTAAAGATAAAAAATTTACCCCAAATTAAACAAGGGTAGATTGCTGGGTTTAAAATTATATATAAGTATTTTTTTTTACCCTTTTTACGGAGCTGGATTTATTTTAATGCCAATAATAAAAATTGCCGCTTGCTTAATATTCAATAGTAAAAAAAGCCTCACATTTTTTTCTTCATGTTCCTCTTTTGAAAATCTGAAAATCTCTCCCAATCAAGATAAACATGTAACCCAATGCTCAGAAATAGAATCGTAATTCCCTCCTTCTCCTCCAAATGGACAAATGTCCCACGTCCAGCATATAAGAAATAAAAAAACTCATGACTTCTCCCTACGTAATGTATTAATTGATATAATGATATATGAAAAGCTGAACATAAAAAGAAGATTCAACGCTTTCCTTGTCTAACTTTCTTATTTTCCTCTTTAAAAATTTACAAATAAACAGGGTAGATTGCTGTTTAAAAAGTATATATATATATTTTTTTACCTTTTACGAGACTGATTTATTTTTAATGCAATAATAATTGCGGTGCTTAATATTCAATGTAAAAAAAGCCTCAATTTTTTTTCTTCATGTCCTCTTTGAAATCTGAAATCTCTCCCAATCAAGATAAATGAACATGCTCAAATATCGTTAATCCTCTCTCCTCAAATGAAATGTCACGTCAGCATATAAGAAAAACTCATGATTCTCCTCTACTATATATAATGATAATGATATATGAAAGCTGAAATAAAAAGAAGATTCAACGCTTTCTCTTTGTCTAACTTTCTATTTTTCTTTTTTTTAGGGATTTTTAAAATTTTATTGTATTTTTCTGTAGTGTAATTGTACAAATTAAATATTTTAATTAATAATTATTCATATTAGATAATTTAAATTACTGAACCTTATCTATAAATAACTATATATCCTAAAACACGTTTTCCAAATTACTTAAAATTATAAATTGCCTAAATTTAGCTGAATTTTTAAATTATTAACACAAATATATCTATCTATTTATATATCCATGTAAATATTTTTCTTTTTTTTTTTTTTACCAATTTTTGGGTTTTACTTTATTTATTTGTATTGGCATTAGAACTTAAATATTTATTGAAAATACAAAATATTATATTAACCATATTAGATAATTTAAATTATAGAACTTTATTTGTAGAATTATCTACGATAATGTATTTGAATTGTTTAAATTAATATGCTATAGATAAAACCTAGCTATTATAAGATAAATTCTACCTTAATATAGTCTTCTACTTTCTATAAAACACTTCATTATGTTAACACAGCAGTATTAACCTCCACTTTTTCTTTAAAAATTTGGGAAGCCTTTTCACGATAAAAAGGACCCCATAAGCAAAGAACATATGTTTTTTATTTTTTTTTTCTATGTAGTTAGTATCCATAAAAGATTGCATATGTATATTCTACTTCCTTAATAATTATTTAACTTTTTTTAAAATTATTATTCTTTCAATAAGCCATATAAGGATCAAATTTCAAAATCAATTCTCATTCTATGATGAGGAATCTTATAACGATGTTTGATGATTTCGTATGGAGCAAATAGAGGTTGAAGAGTCTTTCGTTCAAATAAAGATAAGGTTTTTTTTTAGTTTTTTCTTCTTTCTACAGATTTTATGATTTAATTAATAAATATTTGAGAAATTTTCTTATTTTTTACATATTTGATAGAAAGTTTAGCTAAAAAAATGATATTATTACTATAATTGGGTTGTTTTTGCAATTTTAATGCAGCTCCGAGATCGGACTGGCATGGAAGTACCCGATTGATGTAACTAAAGGAGTGATAGATGTTGATTATACGGACCTAGTTGATTATCGAAAAAATAATTACTCCTGAAATTGTGGATGTCGAGAATTTGGATGCTCCAATAAGGGGTGCAGCAGGATTTGGTTTTACCAGTGTTTGAATTTGTATATATTTATGTAATATTATAAAGTTAATTTTTTTAGCTTTTTGTAGAACCATACATTTTATATCTATACACATGAAAAAAAAAACTATATTTGAAACATAGCTACCAATAGGGCTTATCGATAAAAATTCATTTCATATATAATTTTTGGTAAATTTATTGTTAATTGTAATTACTGGTAAAACTATTAACTATTGTAATTGTTATAGTTTATCAATTTAATTGATGCCCATATTTTTTCAACCTCATTCATAATATAAATTAAAGATTTAGATATACCATAATATATTATGTTGAAATAAAGTCTTAAAAAAAAAAAATATTATGTTGAGTATATCTCAATATTTAACATATTAATGTTTATTTTTTATAAAAATTTTAAATCTAAAATTCAAATTCAAATTCATAATCTTTTTTAATTTTAAATTCAAAATCTATCCAAATAGAATAAATAAGAGATAAAAGTGTACAAAAATATATTTTAAAATTTTAATTTTTGTATGCTCAAATAAATAAATAATAAATATTATTATTAGAAAAATTTATTTAAAATATTTTCAATTATTTTTATCCATAAATAATTTTTTTTAAAAAAAATAATAGCATATTTCAATAATAATAATTATTGAAAATTATATAAACACTCGCGCATGAAATGTGAAATAACGACTAGTTACAAATATGAAGCGACCACTTGATTTTTTATTATAAAAAATAATTACGATAATTGCAATTTGGGTATTCATAAATGAAAAAGAATAAAAATACTAATCGAGCCTCTAGATAATTAATTCATAACAGTAATTAAAATTATTAGTAATCCTTAATAGTATTTGTAAACTAGTCGTGATTCTGCGCTTCACGTACACGTACAGGCATGTATATATTAGTTGATGTTTATTATTATTATTGAATTAATTAAAAAATTTTTAATTTGCAATTTTGTACTAAAAATTTATTTATTAATTAACAATAATTAATCTTTATTTAGACACAAATTGATGATTATTTGAAACTTAAAAGATGTAAGTTTTTAAATCCCAATTTAACATGATTTAATATAATAGAAATGATTTCAAAAGTGAAAGACACAGTTAATTTGAATTTGAGTATTAAATATAAAACTAAAAAAAAATGAAGTACAGTATTTTGAGACTAAATTAATTATCAATATATTTACTAAAAATGTTATATAATTTACTTATAAATTGATAAATTATAATTTTAAAAAAATGATAATAAACATAACACTAATTGTAAATTCTGCTATTGCAAGAGGGGTGGTGCATTCTCCGGTATTAACTCTTTAAAATTGTCCTAAATGAGAGAAATACATACATAATAATACCGACGTTAAACATTTAATATAAAACTGAAAAGACTAATCTTTTATTTTCAAAAGATTTCAAAATAAATTTAAATTAGAAAATTTAAACAATATTATAATATTAAATTATTTGCAAAAAAGATATCGGTTGAATTAAAAACTGAATCGGATACCATCTAAATCGAGTCGAAACCGTTTAAAAACTAAAGAAGAAATTTCTAGAAGTCGAATTGAACCAAACCTATTCAGTTTGGACCAAATCAGACTATATACCTAAAAAACAAAACTTAAAACCCTCATCCTCTCTCTCCCCGTCGCCGACAGCTCCCACACACCCCTCCTTTCTGTTTTCCGGCCAAACTCAATGGAATCAGACGATTAAGGACTCTAAAGTGCTCTACTCGTTGTAAGAAGTTCAATCCAAGTCCTGGTTCACACGATTTAAGCTTGGATCGAGAGGAAATGAAACTTGAAATATCTTCAGTTTGCAATCTGACTCTCCGGCGAGTTCTCGCCGTTACCGGCTGATGTACGCGATGAAGACGGGTTGAGTCAGCTCTTCAGCGCCATGCGAGCAATACCCCTCTGTTAATTTGGTCAACGAAGCTAGCATGTGAAATCGCCATGGATGGTAGTGGCGAAGCTACTGTCAAGGCCATTTTCAGCCAAATGAGACACACCCAGTCCAAATTCGTCACGGATTCTGAGTCCCAATGAGATTTCGAGCATTTTGGTGTATGTGTTGCTCAGTTTTGGCAATACTCGGTTTTCCGGCCACCGTGTGCGGCGGCAGGCGGCAACATTTTGGTGACCGGCCAGCGAGACCCTGGCGAGGCCATAGGAGACAGAATTCTCGTCTCGATTTGGTCAATGCGATGGTATTAACGAAATTCCTATCAGTGAACCCTAGGCTTTGATGCTAAATTTCCGATATAATTTGGTTAAGAATTTATCGATCTAATTTCATTGTTTCGGTTAAGTTAAGCTGAACGTATAGCTAAAACAGTAATTTACTAAAATGCTTTAGCTAAATTAGCTGATTCACTCACTTAGATTAAAGGGAAAGTTAGATTGAATATCCGAGATCTAATTACCGATTTGGTGAGTATCCACTTATTATCTAAGCAGTTCAAATGTTATGTAAATAATGGAGGATGGATATTGATTGAGATTAATGCACAATAGATGGGTTGTAAATTGAATTGTGCCTTTTATATATGATTAGACAGCGATCACAATTTACAAGAAGAGAGATGCTGGTGGATTTCGGTAAAATGCTAAATAATGAATTAAAATAATTATATCATTAATGAGAAATGACTAATAAGATTATTGGTACTCGCATTACCAATATTAATATTAATATTAATAATATTATTATTATTATTAGGTTGGGTGAAAATTGAACTTTGTTGCCTCCTCAATCCATCTATCAATCCGCTACCTAAAACACATAATAATTGATTAGGGACAGCGATCACCAAATTTACAAGAAGAGAAGATGCTGGTGGATTTTCGGTAAAAATTGCCTAAATAACTGAATTTAAAATCCAATTATACCCATTAAGAGAAATGGACTAATAAGATATGTGGTACCTCGCATCTACAATATTCAATATTATAAATATTACATAATTATTATGTATTATTATTCCCATTAAACATTAATTACCAAAAGAAACATAATATTGATTAAATTATCAATTAGAGTCTGAATAAGTAAAAGAAATAAATATAAGTTGTGTAGCTAATAGACTAAAATAAATTATATCATTAATGAGAAATGACTAATAAGATTATTGGTACTCGCATTACCAATATTAATATTAATATTAATAATATTATTATTATTATTACCATTAAACATTAATTACCAAAAGAACCATAATATTGATTAAGTATCAATTAGAGTGAATAAGTAAAAGAAATAAATATAGTTGTGTAGCTAATAGACTAAATAAGCAGTCATAACGTAGCGGTTGTGATTAGTTAATGAATAAAAATTAAATTTCTTAAATTAAGATTTTTACTTAAAATTTTCTTTTTAGATGCTTATAAGGTTCCAGAATGATAAGATAAAAACTAGAAGAAAGCATTAATAAAGATAGTCTTGTTAAAGACAATAAAAAAATTGTGAGTATAGTTAGATAATTTGCATCGCTCATGCATTTTCATTCATGCATACATGAACAATATAATGTATACGTGAAGCATGCATACATATAGAAATGCCATATAGGCTTGTATGCTATGAGCCGCATTGAGCACATATACTTATATATTGAAATATATAGAGATGTAGGATATTGTGCACTATGTGAGTGATATGAAATTTTGTGATTAGATATGACTTGTCCGTGATGCGCTGTAGAGTTAGAATGATATGGGTCACCCTAGGGTGAGAGCACGGGCACGGTGAGAATATCGTCAGTGGGCCGTAAGCATGTGGAGTGGCATCCCCCAATTATGCATCAATGCTAAAAGAAAAAGAAAGAAAAGTGACAAAGTGAAAAGAAAAGGAAAGAAAGGAGATATATATGGACTAGATCCGTCCAGCCTGAATGGGAGTGGGCTCCCTGAGTGCACTTGACACAAGATTATGGATTTATTTTTCCAGAAATTATTTTAAAGCATGCTTTGGGGTGAGCATGATCCTTGTTTATAGTAGGTGATTCCACGGACTAATGTCCACTGTATGATTACTTGAATTGTTGTGACTTGTTTGATAAGTGTGCATAAATACTTACTCGTTCATTCATAGTTAGCTGGAGGGCTACTGATTGTATAGTATGATTACAATATGTATGAATGTGTGGGGTGAGAGGGTTATCTAACCCTACTCATTGAGTTTGGCGCTCACCCTTGCCTCCTTATTTTTCCAGCTATTAGGAGGAGAGAAGAATCCTATGGATCCATTTGAATTGAAATACAGATAAAGAAAAATAAAAATAAATGGATACAATATGTTAATGTAAAGATTGTAATTTCTAGAGTTCAATTGTATTCTAAATGGGTTGTAATTGAATAATATGGATATATGTAATAATTATATAAATTGTATTTATAAAATATCTGTGGGTTGCCAGAGAAGGGAACATGAATGGATTGCATGTGGCCAAATTAAATTGCCTGGCACATTGATTTGGAGAATATTGCTCGAGATAAATGTTTGGGCTTCAATTATGTGAAATTGATTATTGGGCCTGAGGCCACGATTATGTACAAAATATTGCCATTAACCGATTAAGTCTTACAACGAGTCTAGGAGGCCTTAAGCTCACCCAGGTCCTAATGCTGATTCGACCCTTGGAAATGGATCGTGACAAAAACACAAAACAAAATCCCCAAATAGTCTATTATAATTTTGACATTGACTCCAAAAGAAATACTAAATAATGCTCCTAATCATACAAACTTGTTATTGAGGAAGACAACCATCTAAATATTTTTTACTAGCAAAGATTCTTTCAGTTACTTCTCTAACAACAATCCAATTAAATCAAACATAGTTTATAATATTATTATTTTTTATTAGTCATATATGAAACTAATATTATAAATATAGAAATTTAATGTTTAATATGATAAAATTTTAAATTAATATATTTAATTAAATATAATTACCTCATTCACTCTAATATCAACTTTGTTCTCTTTAATAGAAGTGAGGATGCTAATTTTATTAAAAAAAATTATTTTTCATTATTTAGACCCATTCATTGATCCTCGAAAAAAGGGTTCTTACTTTGATAAGAGTTTTATTTTGGAGTCGTCATCCTCTTCAGGAAAAATTCTTGAATATTGAGTAAAGGAGTTAATGACGGTTTCAAAAAGGTGTTAGCCACCCAAACCACTTGGTTTAAACCGGCCTCCTTATTATCCATTAATTCATAAAAATCAATAATATGATTAACTCAAATTAAGGTGTAAAATTTTTTTTAATGCATTATTTAAAAACCATGTCAATCATGCATGTCATCAATCTCATCAAGCATAAAAAGTAAATCATCCACAAGAAATGGGAGGAGAAAAAAAGTACAATTCAAATCCTATTTATACATTCTACCCTTTCAGCCCTTTAAATTTTTCAAACCCCTAATTATTACATTTAAGTAATAATTGGACCCATTAAGGTCCTTTATATTAAGCTCATAAGAATAAAATCAAGATCCATACATAAAGAACAACAACCATAAATAATAACAATTATTCATAGGAACATAAATTAATTCCAGAATCAAAACACATACAATCATTCAATAATGATGATAATAATGAATGTTAAATGTTAAGAAATTCTAAACTAAAGTCACGTGAGTTAGAGTTATATAAAGTAAAAGACATTAAAGTGAAGTGCATTGTAAATAAAAGACTGGAATTTAAAGCACTAATAAATGAAAGATAGTAAAGTAAAAGCATTTATTTGAGGGTTATACAAAATTTAAAGTTCAAGGTCTTGATGTTTATCAAGGTTGATGAACAAATACACCCATCACTACCCCAAATCTTGTTTATTAGTGTTTATTCAATCCATTTGTGGATAAAAATGCACTCGAAAACAATAAAGTCTGTTGTTTTGCCACTGGATCTTTGAATTGGGTCCATTTTATTGATTTTTAACATTCTAGACCTTTAAAACAAAGTGTCTAGCGCCACAGGAGAAGTGGCGTATGCCACACATAGTGGTGCTAGGCACTTTTCCTGATCAAAAAGTCAAAAATCGAAAACAGAGCTTCAGGAGAGTGTTTGTGAAGAAGTGGCGCATGCCACTTACTTGTGGTGCACACCACACTCAGTGCGCCACAAGCATGTCACCCTTTCTTGATTGAGTGCGCCACTTCAAGCAGGCCACCTTTTTGGTTGATCCCGAGCTTCCCTCACAACCAGCTTAAGAATGGTTATTTATCACCAAAATAAAAAGAAAAAGAGATGGAGAAATAGATTAATGGCTCTCACAAGTTACCTCTTGGTGATTTCCAATGGGTTTTGAGAGATTGGATGCAAAAAACCTAAAAGTTGAGTTTTTGAATCAAGATCCGAGTTAGAGATCAAATATACGTGTTTATGAACTTTTAATCAATACTTAAGGGTTTTGTAATAAAAAAATCAATGAATGGAAACCTAGATCAAAGTAGGAAACACAAGTTTTTCCTTTGATTTTGGTTGAGTTTTCAAAATGAAAGAGTTTCCTTAAGTTGATCAAAATGCCTCCCCTTAGCACTAATCCCAAGGCCTATTTATAGGCAAATGGGTAGTGTTGCCCCAGTTTAGGGCTTATGTGCCATAATGCCACTAGCGGGCCCCAAAATCGGGGCAGAGTTATTTTTATAAAATTGGATAGGGTGCCTGCAAAACTAGGTAGGGCACTGAGAAGCGCGTCGGGCGAACTCAAAGCACGCGCTTCCCGAGCCCGGTTTCTTCACGAAACGCCTGGTGATTCGAAAAAGTAAAAAATAGTTAAATGCATCCATTATCTCAGCCACAAACCATTGGTCTAAAAACCGAGGTGATCGGGATTTCCGATTAATCTTATGTTAAAAATAAGCTATCATCACTGAGCCATTAAGGGTAAAATTTGAGTGTCTACAACAACTAAAATCACTAACATTAAGTTTGTAAATAAAAGTAATACTTGATACTATAAACATTGGCTTCACTTTTAAATAATAATTTAAGTCATCGATCCTTTCACAAACCTACCATGTCCATAGGAACCTACTTCATTTGCAGCCGCATAAATAAGAATTTTTAACTTTAAAATGGTTTTGTTTTGGGTTGGTTGAAGAAACATAAGGAAATCAATGAACTCCTCTTGTTTCTGCAAAAATAACTCTTTAGCTCTCTTTAGCTTTTTGTCTATGAGAAGCTTCAATCTTAAATTGGATTTGAGAGTTGCCATTGAACTTTTTGCGTTTAGTGATTGTATAAAGATGATTATGGGTGATGACTTTGAGGTCCTGTGACTACTATATATGGCGAATACATAAATTCACCCCCTGAACTTTGTTACTTTAACCTTGTGGCACCCTCAACTTTTACTTTGACCCATCAGATACTTCAACTTCTGAAATTACACATATTAAACACTTCAATTTTTAAATTTATTTTATTGAACACACGGCACCCTCAACTTTTACTTTGACCCATCAGATACTTCAACTTCTGAAATTACACATATTAAACACTTCAATTTTTAAATTTATTTTATTGAACACTTTAACTTGCAAAATTAGATCAATAGTGTCCATTATATCTCTAGGAACACGGGTATTGAGAGCTGAATACAAGATGAGAACTTGGCAACAATTCTTGTAATTTTCTGCTAGTAATAAATTAAACAATGTCATACATGCAAAATCTAAAAATACATCAAAACCACCATACCATGATGAAGATATAAATTAAATGCCCAAAACATATAAAAGAATTAGATCTGGATCCGATTTGTGAGGTAATTTTCCTGCATGAATATCATTCTAGAAATATGTAATTACAAATTGAAACCTTAATAATCATTGCACCCTAATTAACGAAAAAATAATATAATAAGTAATGGTTAATTTTTGATTACCTATAAAAAAAAAAAAGGAAAGGTTTAAGGCCACCTCTTGATAAATTATTACTCAGGATCAACGACTTTTCATCATCTTCTTCTTAGTTAGAAAGAAAGAGGAGCCCTGCATTTATCAAGGAGAAGAGCAAAGATACAAATATAGAATGAGTTCTCAATAAAAAGGAAAAAAAAAGATTGCAAATTTTATCTTCTTCATTTATTCTTGCACCATATAAATCTAAGCAAAGCAATAATAATTATTCTGTGAGAAATATAAGAACACAATTCTTGTTTGGATTGACAAAAAGGAAAAGGATGACAATTTACTTGATATTTTAGGTTGTTTAGACAGATTCAATATCTTTTTATTAATAAAATCTGATTCATGTAAAAGGGTGAAAAATGAGAGATACCTTACTCAAAGTATACACTTGAAAACTACTCGACCATATAGTGCTTCTGAAACAAAAGGAGAAAATATTAAGCAAAGATAGATAATAAGGTAAACAAAACAATAATAGAAAAATATAAGCATGAAAGAATCTCTGCAAATAAACAAAATAGAGAGATTATATATAACAACAACTTCAATTCAAAATTTAAAAGTTAAAGTTGTATTCGAATTAGATTAGATGATTAGATTAAAGTAAATTTCAAAAGTTATCAATTATCGTTATTATATATTAAATATTATATTACAAATATAATTATTAATCAAAATACAAAAAATTAAAAAAATTAAAATTTTCTACAAAAAGAAAAATAAAATGCTGAACAAAGAGAATGTTTTGAACTTTCTCTTTATCTCAGCTTTCATATATATATATAATTTTTTGGCCGGTGTCAACATTTCTATATAATTATGTAGTGTATTCTATAATATTTTTGCTTACTAATTATATTATATTATAATATTTTTATTTACACCGATCCCAATCATGATTTTCTAACTCTAAATAAGGGAGAAATTTCATATTATTTCTATTTGATGTGAGAATTAATAATTTTAAAATGAGATTTGAATAATTACCTGACAAAGTATCATATAACACCTTTACACTTACATTGGCTACAACTAAATCCAAACAAACAATAGAAACTAAACAGAGAAGCATTAGTAAAATATATATATTTTTTTTTTATTTCAGGTTATCAAAGTTTAAATACCATGATTAATTATGATAAAAAGAATGATGTTGATCATTTTAAAAAGTGATGTTTGACAAGTTAACTTGAGTTCATTATTTAATCATTTATCACTACCAATCCTTCGCTAAAATCCTATCTATGATATATATTAAAAGGGAATAGGGAGATGAACATTAGAGTTAATAAAAATACATCTTACCAAGTTTATAGATTGAAAAACATAGCTTTAAAACTTTTTAATTTTCATTGGTTGAAAAATAAAGGTAACTTAATTAGATTGGT